GCCGCCGCCCGCGCCCCTCGTCCTCAACAAGTGCTGCTGGCGATCGCAGTATTGGGACCTGAGCATGTGGGCGTGCGTGTCGTTTCCTTGGCTGTCGCCCGACTTCACCCAGGACGAGGCCTTGGAGCCGCCCATCACCGCGTCGTGGGTGCCGCCGGCGCTGCGCAACCGCTCCATCCTCGCCAGGTACCACTGCAAAGCCACCCTTGGCCGCATTGAGCTTCACTAGTGCAACACTGGGCTCCACTAGACTGGGCACTAGTGTGGTATTACTCGCGCAACTTTTCTTGAACGATGGATTGAAGAAATGTGGGGAGTGGGGGTATTAGTTACGAATTCGGCCACCAGATTTTATAAAGCAATGCCAATATCTGGAGAATCAGTCATGCCTTCGCAACATTCTCAATAATTTGCGTTCTAACTTTCTCAGGAGTTCAAGGTATCTCCTGAGGTAGATCTTTATCTGCTTTAGTGATTTCTTTAGATTTTTGGAGAAAATAACGGATAGAAGTTCTTGTCTTCAAAAGAAAATTGTTTCTATTTCGCGCTAGTGAAGATGTGTTTGCAATGTTGTCATCAGAGCTCGCTGCGAGATTTTGCCAACTGTTTATTGTGCCAGAGAGGGGGAAGCAAAGTCATCGTTCAAGAAACGTTGAGTGAGTATTATTAATGCTAAGTGTGGATACGCCCGACCAGTGCTTTACTTAGTTGCAACAGAGCTACTTAGCTGTACCAGAACTTCATTTAGTTACCACAGAGTCATAGTTCGCTACAATAACTACATAGCTATTCTAGAGTTTCGGTTAGCTACACCAGTGTCAAAGTTAGACTTATGCTATTTAAAAAAAATAAAAATTGAAGTTACAGAAGGAAATAGAAGAGTATGAGAGAGGATGATCTATAGAGATCGTAGACTTGGACCATACCGACACTCCGTCAGTCAGACGCTTCGAAGAAGTGCGCTCGCGCGAACGGCAGGATACCGCACTACGTCAATAACGGCGAATATTTTCCATACGGTTTTGGCTGGTAAAACTGGAAGCCTGGTATTCCTTTATTACTCATTACTACAACAGTTTTGTTTTGTTTTTCGCTTTTTCTTCCGTCTCAATTCGCTTCTTAACATGAGGGAAACCGGATGGCGGACAGATTGTCGCCTCCTGAGCGAAACTGCGAGTACTAACACTTTTCGACCTCTTCGGAGAAAATTTAATTAATTATTAAACATATTTTAGTTAGTATTTTACATGTAACTGTAAAATGTTTTATATTTTATCACAGATAATCCTGTAAACTAGTTTTTCGTTTGATGTTTCCTTCCAATTCTTATTTTCTCTTTACCGGTTACGCGCTTAATGCTGCGCAAAAAACGGTGAATTTTCGGCAGAAAAAACTTATTGTAGGGCCCTGTAAACTAAAAAGTGGATAAATTCTGTTACTAAATTTATGAAAAATAATCAAACTCGTAGTGTAGCCAAAAACCATGTTTTTGGGTCCTTGATATCGGGACATACGATTGATAGCAAAATGTTAGTCCATCCGTCTGTTCGTCTGTAAAAAACGCTAGCAACCAAAACATTCATCCGAATTTCTCCAAAATTGTCATTCTCCTATCGATCTGGCTGATGTCGCGGCACCTGAAATTCGAAACATATCTAATTTTGGGGGGTTCTTTACATGAAGCCCCACCAAAATTTTCTAAAAAAAATGGCTCCAACGTTTTTGATTACATTTTGTTGTCAGACAGTGTGAAGAAAGTTTAAGAGAATGATGCAGTTCTCATGACCGTTAAATACACTTTTTCGAAAACTGCGAAAGTTCTAATTTTTTTCGGTGTCTTCCTACAACTAAAATATTAAAGGTAGACATTTTTCCTTTAATGAAATCTGTTCCTTAAAGATAGATTTTGAAATCAGGTCGTTTATAATTTTTCGACAAATCGAGAACGGTTTGCATAATTTTGCGTGAAATATAGGCAATTTTTAATTTTCTTTAAACCTTTTTTCTCAAAAACGGCAACAAATTTTTTATTAAGTAAGGACATCTGATAGAGTATAGAATGCTTAAGATCGTGGGGTAGATATCAAGTTCGCTGCCAATCTCATTTTTGAAAATTGCAAAAATTTAACCTTTTTTGGGGTTTCTTCTTACCACTACAATTATGAAGATAATACTTTTTGGGAATAAGATGTTTTAATCAAAAACAGGTCTTCAAATAATAAAACATTCAATTGCTCCAAAATATCAATTTTTTGCGATATTTTGTGTCAAATATATGCAATTTTTATTTTCTTTAAATAATTCTTTCTTAAAAACAGCACAAACCTTTTGATTACATTATCATTTTGGATAGTGTAAAGTAAGTTTAAGAGAATGCTGCAAGTCACCTGGTCATTAAAATATCTGATTTTTCGAAAAATGTAAAAAAATAAAACAAATTCGGCGTCTTCCTACAACTACAATTGTGAAGATACAATTTTTTACTTTCCCATATACGTACGTATATACGGAGTAATGTTGTGGAACACCGATTTCGAGATTTCAATGAAAATGCATGTTTTGGGATCTCGCTGATACCGAAAAAGTGATTTTTTCAAAACGGCCGTCCGTCTACCCGTCCATCTGTGTGTGTGTCTGTCCGTCCGTCCGTCTGAACAACACTATGTGTGCAACCACCAATGTGACTATGTGTGTCTGTCCATGTGAACACCACTAGCGCCTAAACCATGCGTAGTATCATCTCCTCATACATTTTGAGGCTCTCACACGCAACCAATCTTTATAAATGAGGTCTTTAAAGAAAGATAATTTCACGGAGACGTGACGAATTAGACTTTGACTTTAAAAATATGAATAATTTGTTTGAAAAACGCATCTAAATATTCATCTCGCATGCAACCTGCAACACTCAGGCAGCTATCTCGTTAATAAACTCATAAACGAAAAATTATAGGGCCTTAAAAACCAAAATTGTGAGAGAAGAAACGTTCTGCACACCATAACCTATAGGGTGAGATTTTTGTAGACATTCTATTAAATATTTGCTGGTTCCGCACTTCTATCGCTTTTACACTGCTCTCAAAAATACCAATCCCACCTATGTTTCACTGATGGTGGTCATCTTTGTGACGTCACGCTTAGAATGCTAAGATTCCTCTGTCTTATACTATTCACGGTTTCTGCGTACACCGTGGTTTGCGCAGACGGCACCGATGTTTATTGCATAATTATTAATTCAAGGTTCTCACTCGCAGCAACAACTAGAAGTACTATTACTAGTTGCGAAGAAGAATCCGATAAAGATTGTTTCTTAAGCGTGTTGTGAAAACATTCATTTAATGTTTTTCCGAGGTCTACAAGTGCTGTGTACCGAATTGTGAAGGGACGTGGGTGTACAGTGAAGAGTGAAGACGTGTCTTGTTAGGTTTTTTTTGTGTTTTACCTGTACCAGTATTTTCGTATTCAGCAGTGATTTGGTGAAGATTCAAGACAGGGTCTTAAGTCACGTAGTTTTCTCAATAGTAAAAAAGCTTTTTTAATATTTTTGTGACTATTGCGTTCGACGAGTTCGTTAATATTGTATAAATTTTTATTAAAAATTTATTTTTCAACATCAATTGCATTGTTTTTTATTTTATATTTTATATTGTGTTAGTACAATGAAAGTTACTTTTATACATTTTTAAACAAATAAAAACGTTTCGTTAACACCTTTCCCTCTTATAATGGAAATAGAACAATAGGGAAGAGTGTGGGGTTTAACATGCGAGACTTATCGCACGGTTACACGGAGGTAGAAGGGGAGAACTTTTGCTTTGGCACAATACAAAGAACAACGAAGGTCAAAACGCGCTAGCCTTCAATACTACGTAAATTAATTTAAAAAAAGAAACCAAATTTAAAATTATAGAAAGAATTGCACAAGTCATTCGACAACTGCCAACGATCACAATCCAACCGCACGATTTAAATGTTTGCGGTATTTGGAAGTCTGTACGTCAATGCCCTACTGTAAACTATATTGTAAATAATACACTGTTTGATATTAAATTTAAAGTGTCTGTCTGCTAAGATGTTCAATACATAAACATCGTTTGACCAATCTCTCCACCGAAATTAAGTCTTAGCCTAATGAATTGTTTTTAACTGTAACAATGGCTTTTATTACTCAAAGGTGAAAATATTAGTTTTATAATTTTTTGGCTCGGAATTGTTTTATTGAGGCACGAAAGAACGCAGAAAATAATCCACTACTTTTTAATATACAAATAAATTTTCAGTTTTCTTGTCCCAGCAAACTGTCGCCCTGCCCTTCCAACCCCCCCCCCCTGTTCCACATCACAAATCCAGAAAAGAGAAATAATATTGCAAAAAGTACGGTAGTTCTTGCCCGATCCTGTATTTTCCCATTGAAAACATTACTTGGCCTTCTTAAGCCTAAAACCCCTTTGAAATATTTTTGTGACGATTATGAAAAGCGAAAAAGGTAACTGACGAAGATCGAATAATTACTTCAATTTTTTAAATTTCGTGTCTCTATAATACTGAATAAATCTTTATTGAAAATATATTTCCAAGTTAATTGCATTGCTCTAATTTTTTATTCATATTATTCTGTATGTACGAAGTAATATTTATATATTTTTAACAAATAAACACTTTCCTTAAATTTCCTCCTGAATAGAAATTATAGGGACAGTGTGAGGATTAACTTGCGAGAGTTCTCGCAGGGGTACATTAGTTATTTCCAAATTCAAGAAACCCGTGTCAATTTGGCATAGTAGAAACTCTTCGATTTAGAAAATCAGTCATTAGTTTTTGGGGGTATTTTACATGAAACCTCCGGGACATTTTCAAAAAAGTCTCTCAAAATAGCTTCAAACTTTTACTTTAAATTTCTTCTAAGAAAGGAGTTAATTACACTATAAAAGTGACATAGGCTCGATTTTAAGGGTTAAACTCTAAATTTTCGATAATTGAAGTGTTTCTTTTTCAACGTCTTCCAGCAACTACAAAATTGAAGATAGAGATTTTTCCTTCAAATGAAATTTGTTCTCCATAGTGAGTTCTTTCATGAAGGATATGTACATTTTTTGAAAATGTAAGTAGTTTGTACCCAATATTACGTGCAATTTGTGCAATTTTAAAAGATTACAAAAACTAGATACTCTGAAAAAGGCACCATTTTTTTCTTTAAACTTCTGGTACTGATGATGCTAAATACTCAATAGTATAAGATTAACGTAAACGCCATTTTGCTCTATTCTTTTGTTTTAAAATAGATAATGTAATTTTTTGACTTGTGCCTTCATTAATATATACATTAACGGCGAATTGTTAATATTATTTTATTTATGCGTACTCATGACTTAAATAATGTCAATTTTCTCACAACTTTTACGTTTTTTGTGAAAACTAGCTCAAAATTACGCATTTTCAGAGATGCTTTTTCTAAAAAAAAAACAAAAAACAAAACAGTTGCAAATATTTTCTTCAAACATTTACAACAGATAGTGCTAATACTAGTTTCTTAAAAAATGTGTTAATCAAATATAGATTTTCATATAAGATTATGTTGAATATGTCTAAAATAAGAGTATTTTTGCGTAATTTGGCGTCAGTCACCCGCTTCGAATTTCCTGCGCTTCGCAAACGTAATTTGAAATGTGTTTGGAGGACGTTGGATACTATGTTAGAATTTGCATGGCTTTGATAGTTTCTTACATTAAATTGATTGTTAAAGATCCCGGGCGCGTCAACTTCCAGGGTCATTAGTCCCGTACATGTAGTACATGTTTTTTGTTGTTTGGTAGGTGGCGGTTGTTTCCCCCGCTCTATGACGAGATCTAGCGGCGATCTACCGTCGGCTAGCGGGATTTTCCTCGACCAAGTATTTCTAACCCCCAGTCGGAACAAGCTCTAAACTCCCGACAGATCTCCCGGCATGTGTGGTAATGTAGTGCATATTAATGTAAGGTAGTGTAAGGGGTGAGGATACAACAAGGAATAGGAGAGATAAAGAGTTATAATATTGTTGCTGAGGAGAGATCACTCACGGTGCGTGACCTGATAGTTACGATACTGCTCCGGCATTCGCGTAGTGTTGATCGGAGAAATCACGAAAAACTACTGATCAGAACAGCCGGCCACTAGAATTCTTCTCCATACAGCTACTAAATTCGTCCTTGCTAATAAACTAGTGTCGAAAATCCTGCCATCGTCGGAAATCAAACCAAGGACCACCCGGTCAGAGGGAATGCAGTGACAACAGTTGATGCCCTGAGAAAAGGCTCTAACACGTGGTGAAGCCAGAAACCCTACTTTATGGGTATTTGACTCCGAAAAATCAATTGAAGGCAAAATGTCCGTCTGTCTATCCGTCTGTGAACACTACTAGCACCTTAAGCTTGTGTAGGATTTTTCCCAAATTAAAGAAACCCCTGTTCATCTGGCTCGAGTCGAAGCTCTGATAGTTTGAAAAACATTCTTTAAAATTTGGAGGTACTTTATAAGAAGCACTCCGGACATTTTCAAAATTTTCTCAAAAAAGACTCCACAAGTCTTTATTTAATTTCTTGTAAGAATAAAGTAACATACACGTATACAAGTGGCATTGATTCTATTTTCAGTTAACTGAATTTTCAAAAATTTAATAAGAATGAATTTTATTCAGCGTCTTTCTACTACTCGAAAATTGTAGATAGAGGTTTTTCCTTCAAATTATATTTGTTGTCCATGGCGATTTCTTTCATTAAGGTCCGGTACACTTTCTGAATATTTTAGTAGTTTCGCGCAATATTGCCTGCAATATTTACAATTTAAAACATTACAAAAAGAAGATATTCTCAAAAACGGCTCCAAATTTTTTTTCAAACTTTTGGTAGGGACATTACAATATGTACTCTATAAGATGACATAAAGCTATATTGCTTTATTCTTTTGTTGTTTTTCAAAATTACAAAAATGAATTTTTTTTGGCTTGTATCTCACGTTGTTGATGTTTATACTAGCGGAAATTTGTTGACATTAATAAATTTATGAATAAATGTGCTTTAAATAATGTCAGATTAAGTTTCTCGAAAACGCAACGATTTTCTAGGAAAAATAGTCCAAAAGTCCGCATTTTCAAAAACGCTCAAATGCTATTTTCTCAAAAACGGCTCCACATCTTTTCGAATGGGATGGCACTCTTTAATATGATGTAAAGTTTATTTTGAGGTATTTTTTTATTTTTTCAAAAAATGCACAAATGAAATTTCTTTGCAAGATCTCTCAGTCTGTTATTATACACGTGTCTAACAATTTGTACACACTATTGTATTTTTGCATTAATGTGCTTCAAATGACTTCTAATGACGTTTTTCGAAAATTCAAAACTTTTCTGAGAGAAAGAGATTCAAAGTTCGAATTTACAATAGCACTTAAACGCCATTTTTTAAAAAAAAAAGGCTGCTAATTTTTCACAGAAAATTGCGATATATGACGAAATTTTACTGTTCTTTAATATTATTAAAATAATATTTCCGTTGTACTATTTGAAAACCGAAAAATTGAGAAAATTTGAAAGAAATATATTTTAGGAGGCGATAGATGGCAGCTGGCAAGAGTATGTGGCAAGTTCGTATATCTAGCCAAGATCAAAACAAATAGAAAATTAATACGGGAAAGTATGTGCAATTCTGTAGCACCATTAGTTTCAGTTTTTTGTCGTTTGCTTTTATTAATAATGTAGTCATTATTTTATTATTAAATTTAAAGAAGTGCATGTCGGGTTTGAATTTTACCCCCAACCATGCCTTCACCTTCCGCTTCCTTCAAACCAAACCTTTTGGTTAAAATTAGATTGTTAGCATCGCAATTTAAAAAAAATCCTTTCTCGATCACATTGTGTGAAGTTGTGTTTCTTTGAATCCGTTACACTTTCGTTGATTAGTTCACACTATTTTTGATATAATATATTTTTCATTTATGTTCAATTAACATATTATTTTATTTATATATTCTATTACCTTAATTCAATTTTATTATTTCATCAATAATATTTTTCAGCCACGTAGTTAATTATTATTGTTATTAAAATTTATTAATATCACCTGGTTGTGTTTTATTAAATAGTAATTGCTCGATTCTGGTATCGATACCTTCGTTGAACGGTAGGGAGTTAGTGCACGCCATAGCACCAACACAATCGATCTTCTGACCGATAATTCGTGGTATTTCGAATTGCCTAAATTCCGTGACTTCACGGAGCACAATTAAGCAATTTCGCCGTCGACGCCATTAATAGAGGCCTTGCAAAGCCATGAGAGCAAAGTCCCCAAAAAATATTTTTTTCAATAATAAATGTGTGAATCCATCACGCTATAAAATAAAATCATCAAAAAGTGGAAGTATATTTTAACAAAATTTTATTAGATCCACATCGTTTTTCAACATTTTTAGGAATCAGAAAGCTTACAAATATATTTTAAAAACAAGAAAATTCGAAAGAAACAATGTCCTTTGTCTGATTACACAGAATAATAGAGAAAATAATTCACACAGAGAGAAGATTTATCCAGTTTTTGTTACCAGGGCCGCCAATAGGAGTGATTTTTGTCAAAAAATGTCCGTTTACCAGCGCACGATTATGGTACTTTCTCTTCTCACGAATTAAGTCGAGAAAATAAAAATTAAGCCTGCAAATCGAGCGAGTGTCTTTGGCGCCGTCATTTGAAAATGTCTGTTTTTCACGCGACGTCGCCTCGTCCGTCAGCATTTCATTCGTACGCCAAAGATTCTCTGATTGTTTCGGCGATTCATTAATAATTCCGGGCGCACCCGGGCGGTTTATGCGTCCGGGCTTGATTTATTGGGAGAAGTAACTGTGAACTTCCCCCGCCGGATGCCGAGATCGGCGGCGATCTACGTTGCCTTGTGAGGGTATTCCCGAACGATGTATCTCCCACCTGCAAGGTACCGCCCCAGTCGGGACAAACTCTAAGCTCCCGACAAATCTCCGGCATAGTCGAGTGTATGTAGGTGTAAGATTGAATAATTAAAGGGCGAGAATAGGACAAGAAGTTTGGAAAGATCGTGCACGGTCCGTGGCCTGTTCGTTGCGAGTACTGCTCCGGTATTCGCCTGGTGTTGATCGGGGAAATCACTGAAAACTACAGATCAGAGCAGCCGGCCTCTAGAATCTCCTCCAGGCAGCGACTAATTCGACCTAGCTAGTGTCGAAAAGCCTTCCACCGCCGGAAGTCGCATTGGAACACTAGCGCTGCTTTAAAGCGAAGTTGAAGCGAAGGGGGCGTGTCGCTGGCGCAGGTACGACGGGGAGCTGAAGGGCAACGAGATGGCGGTGCTGGACGCGGGCAACGCCACGCTGATAGCCGAGGTGGAGCGCGCCAACGCGAGCGCGGGCGTCTTCGCCGCCGAGGAGCGATTCCAGCCGCCCGTGGACGAGCGCGCCGTCTACGCGCAGACCTTCTGCGTCGACCACACCAACGACGCGCTGGTGCGCCACGTGCTCATCTCGGGCCTCATCACGCGACACCTCAACAAGTGCTGCCCCGACGGCCAGCGGCTCACGCGGCGCGCGGACGCCTGCGAGGACGCGCTCGACGGCGGCAGCGGAGGCGAAGGGCTGGGCGACGGCGGCGTGGACGAAGGAGGCGGGAGTGAGAGCGGGGGAGAAGGGCTGGGCGACGGCGGGGGGGAGGAAGTGGGCGTGACTGGGAACGGGGGAGAAGAGTTGGGTGAGGGTGAGGGCGGGGTGGAGGAAGCGAGTGTGACTGAGAACAGGGGAAAAGAGTTGGGCGAGGGTGAAGGTGGGAGCGGGCTGGTGGAAGTGGGCGTGCGTAGGAAAAGAGAAGGGCTGACGGAGGGTGAGGGCGGGCGGGGTGGAGGAAGTGGACATAAATGAGGGCAGGGAAGAAGAAGTAGGCGAGGGTCAGGGGGGGGCAGGCTGGAGAATGTAGGCGTTATTGCGGCGCGGCGTAGAAAGGCGGGCGAGGGTGAGAGCTGGGTGAGGAAGTGGGAGTGCTGAGAGCGGGGAGAAGGTTGGGTGAGGGCGACGGCGAGAGCGGCTGAGGGATGTGGGCGTAGGTGAAATGGGAGGAGGGCTGAGCGAGGGTGGGGAGGGCGGGGATGGAGTGGTGGAGACGTGGGCGTGACTGGAGCGGGGAGAAGGGGTGGGTGAAGACGAGGTGGGAGCGGGAGGACGGAGGTGGGCGTGACTGAGAGCGGGGAGAAGGGTGGGTGGGAGCGGGGAGGAGGAGGTGGGCGTGACTGAAAGCGGAGGAGAAGGGGTGGGTGAAGGCGTGGGTGGGAGTGGGGTGGAGGAGGTGGTCGAGACTGAGAGCGAGGGAGACGGGTGGGCGAGGGGTGAGCGGGAGCGTGGCGCCCCGCCGTCGCCGCTGGCGCGCATGAGCGGCGTCGCTGGGGCGCGGTGGGTGCTGCCGTGGAACGTGGCGGTGCGCGCCGTGGCGGCAGCGGGGCCTGGCGGCTGGAGGCGCCGCTCGGCCAGGCGGACTTCGCGTGTGGTGCGCGGGCCGCGCGGGGGGCCCGAGGGCGAGACGGCCACCTACTGCTTCGACCGCTGGCCTCGGGGCCGCTGGCGCCGCGCGCGCTGCTGGCGGCCGTGGTGCACGCGCGCAAGTGCTGCGGCCGCGGCAGCGCTCAGCGGCGACGCGCAGCGCTGCGAGGGGGAGGCGGCGGAGGGCCGCGCGTGGCGCGGTGGCGCGCGACGCCGCCTGGCTGCGCCCGCGCTGCGCAACGCCTCCCGCGCCGTGCACTTCGCGGCGCAGTGGGGGCTGGCGTCGGCACTGCTGGTGGACGCGGGAGGACGCGGGCGCTGGAGCGTGGAGGCGGGGGCGGTGCGCGTGGCGGGGCTGCCGCCGGCCGCCGTGGGCGTGGTGCGTGGACGCGCGCTGCGGGCGGCGGGCGCGTGCTGGCCGTGAGGTGGCGTGCGGCGCCCGGGGCGTGCGCTGTGCGTGACCAAGTGCTGCCCGGCGGCCGGCTGCTGCTGGCGGGACGGGCGTGCGGGGCCGGAGGCCACGCCCACTGCCGAATGGACCCCATGCGCTCGCCCGCCGCGCCGCTGCTGGTGGCCGGCGCGGGCGGAGGGCGCGCGGGGGGTGGCGCGCTTCGTGACCGTTGCCCGTGGCTGACGCTGGCGCGCCGCTGGCGCCCGAGGAGGTGGCGCGGCGCCTGCTGACGTCGGAGGAGAAGCTGCGCGTGTCCAACGTGTACATGCGGCGACCGGCTGCTGGGGGGGGGAGGCGCTGGCCAGCTGCGAGCTGCCGCCGCTGGCGCGGGTCTACGAGCGCGTGCGGCCGCTGCAGCTGCTGGCCGTGCTGCTGCTGGCGCTGGGCATCGCGTCGCTGCTGGCGCAGCGCGAGACGCGCCGCACGCTGCACGGCTGGGCGCTGGCCGCGCACGCCGCCGCCCTCCTCGCCGCCAACGCGCTGCAGAGCACCTGGTTCTTCACGTACGAGCGCGACGACAACTGCGACAACTTTGGTGAGCCACACACACGCTCGATTCACACATTGTTGGTGTCTCCGCGTACATCCGCTGCTGTACTCATAAGGCCTGATCATGTAGTGCATTCGTAGAGCCCGCGGTGACGACACTTCTCCCTTGCTAACGCGTGAGATCCTGCGCCGACCTACACGCCGACGTGCGGGCGAATACTCTTCCAGGAATCTCCCCCGGCGAACGCCGACACAGCCCCTGCCACGACAAGTTCCAACCTGCTAATAGTTCTCCCGATACATGTAGAGATGTAATGTGTAGATATATGCAAGCAATGAGAGAAAACAGGATAAGGAAGAATAATGAAAAGTTCGCACGCTTCGTGGCCCATTTGTTAAAGCACTGCTCCGGTATTCGTCTGTTATTGATCGAGAAAACTACAGAAAACTACCAATTAGAGCAGCCGCTTGCTAGATCGTCTTGCTTTCTAGGCAATGTCAAAAATGTTATGCTGTTGGGACTCCAATCTACCTGTCACAATTGCTTCAGACACAACGGTAATGCTGAATCTGAGCTAACTCCCACACTCCCCACTTATCCATATCACACAAAGGCAGAAAACAGTGATGCCTTTTCTTGACACACTCCTCTGCCACTTTCTGGACAGCAGGTAGCTAAACAAATCACATTCCGAACGAAACGAAGAGCTCAAATCCCTTTTTAAAATAATACCTTATAGCACAGATGTAGCACACAGACAATGAGTGTATCCCAGTATACACTTATCCCACGTACATCTAGCACATCCATTTATACTTGTATAAAAATGTTGCAGATAAACACCATTCTTAACGATTCAAAATATCATGAATTAACTCCTGTGTTAAAATTGACTTGGTTTTTGCTCTCTTAGTTACGAAACTGTAATAATTTTGTAAAAGCTGTTTAACCCTTGAGTGGTCGCGCACGAAGTCGTAACTCGTGTGGTCGCGTGGATTAGAATAGTAGTCCATTTACAAACGTTCTCATTAACGTATTACTATTAAATTTTTTTCGTTTATATTTACACAGTTCAGTAAATCGAAAACAGTAATCAGGGGCTAAATATATAATTTATTAGAATGGTGACAAATTACAGAAGCTACGAAGCGATACCCAAAATTGCATTATTTTGCTTCTAAACAAAAATATCCATAAATATGCAAGCATATGTGATTTTTTAAACGTCTCCTTATATATATATATATATATATATATATATATATATATATATATATATATATGCATATGCAAGCATATATTTTTTTTAAAACTTTTGTGACTATATTCTGAATGTGTTCGTGTTTGTATGAGATGAGCATTTTGCACAGGTTTTGTGTGCGTGATTTGGACACACACACAGTATACAATTTACGCACCTCTGTTGAGTGTTCTTGTTTTATAACATGTATTGTTACAACCAAAGTTCCGTAATTTTTAAAGTCAAGAAAAAAATTGGGGAAATTTTTGAAAAGTTCAGGAAATTTTTCCAGGGTCTTCAAGTAAAGTACTCCTAAAATGTAAAGAATATTTTCTCAAAATCATATTACTTTAAGAATAGTAAGAAACAGTAAATCGTCGACCTACAGACCACGTCTTTGGACATTTTTGTTGAAACATTTTGTGCCCTTTTCAAAAAAAAATGTTTACGCATTACTACAATTGCGAAAGAAGCTCTTTTCCAGAGAAAACTTGAGTTTTCTCAAAATTTCATCTAACGTCATTTAAACCGATTCCACTCACAAATGCAATACTACATATACAAATGAAACATAGACAACATAAATACACATAGAATACGCATAAAAATGCAACAAATGCAAATTCAATTTGAACATTAAGATATACAACATCTGGAAATGTGCGTATTAAAGGCGTGAGAGGATTCAAAAAATTACATTTGTTTAATTTTGAAAAAACAAAAGAATACAAAAAACGGAATTTATTTTATCAGAAACAGTGCATTTAGCAATATCCGTTCAAAGAGAATGAAAAAACACCTTTTGCACCTTTTTGAGATAATGGCGTTTTGGGCTTTCTGAAAACGCAAAAATTTGAGCTCATTTCACAGAAAACTTATGAGTACGTTTCTCTGTACTTACGTATATTACTCGATATTAGTAACTCCGTATATACGCACGTATTCGAGAAATAAAAACACCATCAGCATAATTTACATTACTTGGATTATACGATTCAATAATTTAAAATTTATGGAAGCTTCTTTATTGGCAAAAACTCGAATATATTAATTTTTCACTCTTTGTCAACTCTAGTCTGAAGAATATCCAATTTCTGGATATCCGAAAATAATTATTATAGGTTTTTTATGATGGACTTTTTCGTTAGAAAGATATAGACCACGTAAAAACATCGAACACAAAAGTTCGATGCTAAAAAACATGGGTTTCAAAAAATCGATGCTAAATTCATCTATGATTTTATAAATACATCGACATCGGTGCTTGTACGAAACTCCTAGCTGCGAGGCGAGGGACCTGCGCGGGAGTGACGGCCGCGCAGGTGGCCGAGAGGTCGCTCCACGCTTGCGGCCGATGCGCTGCCGCCACGAGGAAAAAAGAAAACGGAAGCTCCAGTGGCAGATGAGCCGGGGTGGGGGGGAGAGGAACGCGCCGAAAATGTCAAGGTCGGGCGGCGCGGGTACTACTACTGCTGCTGCCGCCGCTGCCGCTGCCGCCGCCGCCGCCGCCGCCGCCGCCGCCCTGGCCTCCCCGTACGCGGAAGGCGCCGGCCAAATATTCTCCCTGCGTCCCGCCCCCGCGGCCACTGTGCAATTCGCGTAAATCGGGGTGTTTTCGCGCAATTCCTTTCCATAAACTAGTGGTGCTTGAACATCAAGTATTTTCATGAACTGTTTGTAAAGGCAACGCCATATTATAATTCTACATGAACCTCGTCATCAGAGGGGGCAGCCCACTCCGTCGGCCTTGACTCTTCGTGAGTTGACGCGCCACAGATGATGATGACGGTGATGAACCTGCACAATTGTTTCCAATCTGCATGTTTTTCTGGCCGCTAGAATTCCAACTCAAGTTCTTAGAGATACTCGTAGCACGTCATTCACGTTACCCCTAAATCATCTTAGCACGCCATTCATATTATTTAAAAAAAGAATATTGAATGAATATTTGAATAATGAATATTTCAATTCGCTGTTTCTTTGTAACGCGAGGAAGCAAATACAAATTTTTACTCAACATTTCATTCACCTGTATCTAGGAGGGAAAACGTAACATTTTATTACAATACTTGATTGGTTATCAATCGGCCTGACGGTCTCGTTTGATAATTCTTCCATCTCCATGTTTAACGATACTTGTTTTGTAAATCACTGATACATGTCAAACAAATATGTATGTCCCTTTTAATATAATAATTATTTAATTTTCATGTCTTACCCAATTTTTAGAGGGAGGGGAGTATTTTGAACCTGAGGATTCATGAGGCTAGACCTTATAATCCTAATTTTAGATATATTAATGATATTTATTGTCGAAGTTAGTAGTGTTTTTGCAATCTGGAGGTAAAACACAACAATTTTCAAACCAATGACCTCAGAAGAAGGTAGTTCCATGTAATTTCCTACTGAAATTGAGTTTTAGGGCAAAAATGATAATTGTTGAAATTATAATCTACGACACTCTTTATGAAATTACTGCTATTTATTGTCAAAAATTAATACTATAGTGAAACCTCAGCAAACTGCCACTTCTAAGGAATCACTCCCATTAATGGCCATTTTTTCGTAAGACACATGTTAATTTTTTCTCAAGTAAACGGCCACCTTACATGAGAGAAATTTTACATCCCGCGAATAGCGACTAGGCCATTTCGTAGATTGATGTGTATAAGTGGTCACCTCGAGTAATTTTCAACTGAAATAGAATAAGAAGCAAACGAGTAGTGGATATACAAGTTGATTGAGTCTCTGGGATTTCACTGTCAGTCTCTGGGAGATCATTGTCAGATTACTTCGAACAGTGGTATTTGGAATAGCTCTTCTAGCAATGTTGTTGGCTTAAAGAGATATTATATCTCTTTAAGCCAACAACAGTTGATTTTAATAAATGTACGTACGCGTCACTTAGACAGAAACTTCCCCGTAAAGTTCGCTAACCCCTTCTTTCCCGTTCTGGCAACGTGTTAACGGCCGGCGGAATACGCCACGTGCGCGAAACCGATCTGGCCACTCGCAAACTACTTCGTGAGGCATCCCTGCCCACAGAAAGTGAATTGCATTTTGAAGTAAGAGGGCAATTCAAGTACCCACCGAACCGAACTTACAAATATACTATATTTGTAAGTTCGGTTCGGTGGGTGACTTGAATTGCCCTCTTACTTTATTATTATTATTATTATTATTATTATTATTATTATTATTATTAATATTATAATTATTAACCTATGTTTTATTTTATCATAAGAATAAATACAGACGTTATACATGACCAAATCATATTTATCAACGTCTCTTTGTTAGGAATTCACACTTACCCTAGCCCCATAAACTTTCGAGCTATTTCAGTTGTTGAGATTACCACTGCCTTCTGCAAATCTTATAAACATTCACATTAATATTCAGATCTTTCCAACTTTCGAACGACCAACTGTCTCCAGGTGCTAGAGATGACAATGGGGATGATTCTCACTTGGTCCATGTGTCACTGTTTCTCGATACTTTCAACCAGCGGAGCATATTTTGTGATCTTGTCGATGTACTTCTTTCGAAGATTTTTAATGTTTGGTACGGCTATGTCGATCAAGTAGGCTTGTCTTTTCGTCTTGTGTACTAGAACCAAATCTGACCGGTTGTGACGGGCTGTCTGGTCTGTGAGAATTGTTTTGTTCCAATAGAGTCATCATTCATCATTTTCGATTATATTATTAGGTACGTATTTATAGTAGGATAACTTGCATTCTATAAGCTGATGTTGGTAAGCAATCTCTTGTTGTAGGATCTTCCCAACAGCATCACGGCGTTGATTGTAATCTGTTCCCGAGAAATGTGTACATCCAGATGTAATGTGGTGGATGTTTTCCTGTACCTGGCATCCATATCGACATCTGCCGTCTTGTACACCAGGATCTCTTACTATTGCTTTCAGATAACTTCTGGTGGGTATGCCTTGATCTTGTGTTGCCAGAGCATAGTACCTTCTGTCTCTGGGAACATCTGACCTGCCATTAGCCAGGAGTTCGGCACTTTCGTGCCGAAATGACCTTGATTACTTGCATACAGATGCTTTCCATGCAGAGCCTTGCTCCTCTACGTTTCCAGTTTTTGCTGTTCTCTATGGTTATTACCGTTGTCTTTTTGATGACTTAACTTCAAATGTGTGGATCCATCTGCTAAACATACGGCACGATGTAGTTTCGATGTTCCTGCTTCCCTGTGAAAGTATTCTCGAAGAGATTTTATATGTTGGGACTTTGCCAATGACCACAACATCTCGACCTCCCAAATGTCGTGACAATGTTATTCTTTGAAATGCTGATTTTGGATGATTGCGTTCTTTAGTCATCAATGTGTGCAGTTTTCTTTCGAGGCCTTCGATTTCCATTCTATACTCCATTTTATACACACAAAAGAGTACCGAGCACAAGGAGAGCATACGTGTTGATTGCTTTGATCACATTCCCGCTATTGAGTGAAGTCTTCAGAATTTGAAGATTCTTTGTGCAAACGCTGTTGACAGTCCATCTTTAACCGTTGCTTGATCTACACATCTAGCTTGTTTGATATCTAAATACTTGTAGGTCTCATCTGCAAGCATTGCTCTTATAAGATGTACGTTTTCAAACTGGAATCCATGGTTTACATCACACTATTTTAATTGTCCGACATTTGTTTATTCCAAATTCCATATATACATCCTTGAGAACGTTTCAACAATTCGATGAAGATATTCTAGTTGTATATTTGTTGCCGTATATCAAGTCATCCATATTCGAGAGATGGTTTAATTGATATGTTTATTGTGTCCCTTTCTTAATGGCATAGCCGTATCCAGTAGAATTCAGGATATTATATAATGGATTTATTATTATTATTATTATTATTATTATTATTATTATTGTTATTATTATTATTATTCTAATTTATAACTCTCGATGTTATGAGTCGGTTGAAAGTAAAAACTACACCAGGCTGCAACACCTTCGTAAGGAGCAGATATAGAGACTGTCTATGCCTCTACAATACTTTGTGTAATATGTGGGCTATTCCAAATAAAGCAATATCTTGAACTTCCCAGTTTTGTGAATGACCTGAGAGTTTAGCCATGTTCCTACCCGAAGTTTGCTGAACAAATCTCAGAGTTCCAATATGTATCGGGTCGATCTGTGCTCTTTCGCCCCATGTTCGGCTGATCTCAATTGAACACGTTCTTCTGTCTCCTTTGTTTCGTGCCGATCGCACGACACAGCAATATAGTTTACTCATTTCTTTCATCTGGGCTAGATTCTTTGTCTTGCCCCATCCTCTTGCCAGCTGCTATCTATCGCACCTCGAAGTAAATTTTTTAAAAATTGTCTCAATTTTTGGTTTCCTAATGGTAGAACCAAAATAGTACTTTTTAAGAATATTATAGAAGAGGAACATCTCGTTCTACAGGGAAGACTTCGTTGAAAAATTTGAAGCTTTAAGAAAATGTCGTTTAAGCGTTAATGTAAATGCAAAATTTGAAGCTATTTGTTGTCATTAGAAGCACTTCCACTCACAAATACAATAATACAAACAAATTGCTGAAAATGTGCATATTAAGGGCCTGAGAGACATTTAAAAATATTACATTCGTGTAGTTTTTGAGAAAACAAAAATTACAGCAAAATTATTTTGTGTAATCTTAAACAATGCAATTAGAGCTATCCGTACAACAATTTGAAGACAAAATTTGGTGCTTTTTTGAGACAACCTTGCTTTTGTTAATTTTTTTATTTTCAAAAGTTCAGAGTTAAAATGGAAAATCAGATCTATGCCACCTTATAAGTGCATTTCACTCTATTATTACAGGAAATTAAAAAAAATAGCCATTTTTGATAACATTTGGAAAAAGTGTTAGGGGCTACATACAAAGTGACCCCAAAAATTAATGAATGTTTTTCAAAATCCCAGATCTTTTAGTGAGGCCAGATCGACAGAGTTTATTAAGTTTGGAAAAACGCCTGCTAATAGTTTAGGCGCTAGTGTTATTCACAGTCGACAGAAAGAGGAACGGAAGGACGGCTGACAGACGGACGGACACAGATTTCCTCGCACTAGTTTTATAATTTCTTTGGTCTGGGCTAGCGTTTTGGTCTTGCCCCACCTTCTCAGCTTCTCTTCCGCTAGCTGCAATCTAACGCCGCCCAAAGAACGTTTTTTTTAAATTTTCACAGTTTTTCGGTTTCCTAATGGTAGAACCGAAATATTACTTTAATAATATTATGTAAAAGTAAAACTTTGTCCTATAAGGTACTTTGCGTTGGAAACTTTGGAATCGTTTTTAAGGAAATGGAGTTTAAGTGTTACTGTTTCTGCGAAATTTTAAACTCTTTTTCACTGAAATCTTTTGCAATTTCGAAAAACTTCATTGGTAGTCGTTTGCAACACTTGCTTTCTCAAGTGCAATAATATATACAAATTGCTCTAAATGTGCACATTTTGGACAAACGAATGCAGATAAAAATTTAAAATTATCAATTCTTTGCGGGCCAACTTCACATTTTCTCTTTTGGTCGCCCTACGATTGTAAAATTATTTATGGTTATGTAACATTTTAGAAATTGTATGGAACTAATAATATAATTCAGAAAAGTCCCAAGAGTTTCGTGTGTATTACACTTAAATTTTACAGAGTTCTATTGAAAATCACAGCGCTTTGTGTTTGGCCAGATCGATCGGGGAACATTCACTCAGGAAAAAATGCTAATAATTAAGGCGCTAGTGATGTACACAGGCAGAACCAAAGATGCACATACGCATTAAAAACATGTTATAAAAGGGACCATAAACTTGTGTTACCGATTTTCAACATCATTACATTACTTTATCTACATCACGGATATTTCTCCGTATTTACGTACGTGCACGAGAAAGTTAAAAGAATTTCCGTCGCATTTTCTTTTCAAAAATTCTGAGAGAACAAAGGAAATCGTTGCCCGAATCGCGTTCCTCTGCATTTCAGTGCTTGCAGTTAGTTTCGCTGAAGGTCTCCCAGTACTCCGTCCAGGCAAGGTCCTTCGGCCAGTTAACAAGGGGGAAAGGTTGAGGCTGTTGGCATGTTGTTTCCTTATTACTCTTGGCACTGCTACGATCATTATTAATTGCTCACGATCACACTAGTCTTGCTTTATAATGTTTAAAATCTTACATTCTCATGTAATCGTACTTACTATAAATTATAGTTCTATAAATGAAGGAAGAGAATGTCGAGATTTATGGAAGGGCACGTCTTGAAAGCCTCTGACATCGAAAAACTAGTGAATTTAGAAATATCTTTCTGTCTTGCCTTCAGTCCCTTAGTGATCAGAGAAAAATTGTAACGGACATACCAGAAGCATATCATTACGAACTAGTGAAAAAATCAACTCACGCTTAAATAAAAAATACCAAAAACCAATAATTTAAAAGGAAATCACGATATGTAAGGAGAACGAATTGAGAAACTTTAAAAACACGTAGCTTCCTACATCAGTTATTGTAATAAGAATGGAAGCTGTTGAAATGTTATTGTAGTTAGCATAAAGCCTGAAAGTGAATGCTATTGCAATAAGATCCAAAGAAATAGATCACAAAAAGGCGACAAACTTGAAATATGTTTTTTGGTTGGATTACTATATTTCTAAATATTAAACTCGGAACATACGAAATTGCATTGTGAATATTATTATTCCAATAATTAATATAATTTAATATACAAACGAACAATATAGAAATAAGATCTGATACAAACGCGTCGATTCAGTACAATTCTTCTAGACACCGACATCTGGCACATCTCATGTTTTGACTGCTAAAAGCATGGAGGCCAGCATGGCGGCGAGCGTCTACCAAGAGCACTGAAACCATAGGCTCAGCCTCTCTAGTAGTATATTCTAGCTCGAAGTACGTTGATAAAAAAGTGGAAGACGTGAAAAGTCAGTGAAAATCGTCTGTGCGTCCATCTATTCTGCGAACGACGCCAGTGGTTAAATCGTAAACTGGAATTTCACCAAAATGTATATTCCCCGATCGATCTGGCTGATGTCGCGGCCCCTTAAATTTGAAATATATATTTTAATGATCGGGGTATTTTACATGACGCCTCAACATTTTCAAAATTTTCTCAAAACGACTCCAAATTAAAAACAAAGTTTTATACGGATAGTGCTAAGTGCACTGAATAACATGGCGTAAACATAACTTGGATGTATTTGATTTCCCAAACATTTAACAAAAGGATTTTTTTCAAATATCTCTCATATCGTCAATATTTATATTAGGAACATTTCGTGCACTATGTTATCACTTTTGTGATTTCAACTTCTTGAAATAGTTTCATATGAAGTTTCTCGAAAGTATCGGGTGAAAATGGTCTTCAAAATACGTATTTTCAGGAACGCTTAAACATTTTTCAAAAGCTGCTCCAAATCTCTCAACGAAAATTTACATGTAGGTCCAAATTTTACACTTCAATAGTATTCTGAAAGTCATATTTAATTCTACTATTAGGTTCCGGAGGTACGGAAAAAACATGAAAATACATCTCAGACTGGAAATATAAGGAAACTAACTAGCACGAGAAAGTTTGTAGCACTAGTAATTTTCTTGGATCCCATTCGTAAACTAGATATTTAGATCAGATCTGAAACCAACGTTTATGTGGTATAATATGGAACAATCTTCCACTTTCTTTAAACACTGCATTTCTGCGGCTTGTATTCTTTGATATTCTTTGGTTGCACATGATTCACTTCCAGAGTTGATACTGGAATGGCCATTACTTTGTAACCCTTTATTTCCATATTCATTTCAGTACTATTTTTAATGCTTTTTGGATTGTACCACTCATGATCTGGTATTTATTAAGTTGGTTTTGTAGGTCATTTTCTTGTTTATAACTTACGTCACAAACTAAGAAGTTAAAATGAGACAACTGTTCTAATCTATTTTCATTGACGACTATCTTGGAAAGAACAAGCCATCAATATTTTTACTAGAGGTGATTTTAAAACAATAATTTGTACATGATTTGTTTAATTAGGATATGGTTTATCGCATTTTATTTTCTGATTTTGGCAAAATTACTTCCTAATCAGCAACCGATTAGTCATTGATACATTTTTTTATAGTCTCATAATGAGGAGGTATAGTCTCATTCCTGGAAATGCTGTTTTTCTACACAACAGGTGGAAATACAAAATAATATTTCGTAAAAAATAGAAAGAGAATTCGTTTTTTGACAAAATCCTGCTTTATGATGTAGGGGCATTGAATTAGAACGATTTTCTTTACTATTACAGCTCATTTTTAATAAACACACGTGCAAGAACACTAACTTAAAAATATCAGAATGAGAAAAATTAAGATGGCAAAGAACAATTATATTTTTATCCCAAAAGTAAATGATTTTCCGCCATTTATCAACTTAAATCCACTACCTTACATTTAACGTGCTCTTAGTTTATAAATTCTCCCTACGTTATTAGTTTTACTCGTCACTGGCAGAACCATGATACATTACAACCATTCTCTTTTGCTAATCATTAACCATTCATTTACAAAAAGAAACACATCCTGCATTCATTATAAATTCTAATCTAGCATTAATGTTAGGTAAATATCATTCATATGCGTCTTTACAACATATCATGTAGTCAACATGCACAAAGATTTGATTTCATCTACGATACCTCCCAAATATTTACACACAAAAACGACGACACACATAAAACACTAATGCCACGATCAGAAGAGAGCCGCGTTTAAGCAAGCATTTGAGTGTGCATGCTGAATGGACATCCATCAGCTGAGGAAAACATTCCGAAGACCTGATACTTCATTTTAGCTTACTATTGTATTATTACGCAACTTGCCTTAAAGGATTTCCCCGACTAGCGGGTTTTCCTCCAGGGTCGGCGGGTGAGTGGTGTGTTTCTGTATTAATAAATTACAGTCAATCGGGGTAAATACGAGGCTGTCGGGTAGCGCATAGACATGTTGAACACAAAATACTGTTACTCAATTCAAATTCAATTTTGAACTTTTGTCTTTGTATTTAAAATACTTGAAAACAATGTTTGTAACATTTGCCACTGTTAAACCTCTGATATCCTTTTTCCAAGTTGTTTTTAAATGCTGTTTGTTTCCACATACTACTTACTAGTATACTATACTACTTTTACGCTAATTTGTATACGTTTGGCATGTGGTATGGTAGAAGGACGGGCCTAATGGTCCGAGCCTCGCCATAACAATAACGCCGTTATATTTTGTCGCGAATTGGCCGTCTAGGATTGCGCGGACGTACACCTACAATTAACGAGGTTCGGTAACATTTATCCCATGGCAAGTGTGACTCCTTTTTGGGGGGATCAGCATTATGCTGAATCCAATTTTTATCCCACAGGTTTGTTAGTTCTGGGGGGATGGAATATGGAATGAAGATGATAAAGAATTATTACTGGACATACACAAACAAGAACCACCTACGAACCACCTTCGTATGAGCGAGGCGGAACTCGAACACGCGGTCCTTCCGTCCGAGATCGCCTTGGCACTACTGCCTTAGCGATCTCGGCTAACCAGATCGACAATGCCGTTATATTATTATTATTATTATTATTATTATTATT